AGGTGCAGGAGGCGGCGAGCGTGGTCACCTCATGGCTGCCGCTGGGTTGCAATATTTTCGGGGGAGGCCTTATTTTAGCGCATGCGCTCAAAAGCCCGATTAGGCTTATTATCCAGGGAGGTCTTATTTTGGGGGAAACAGGGTGTATGTATGTATGTGTGTGTGTGTGTGTGTGTGTGTATTGGGGGGCATCTTGACCTGATTCCAATGGATTTTACTTAAAATGTGTTTGTGTGTGTGTTTGTGTGTGTGTGTTTGTGTNCCCCCAAAGGGGTCGCCACCCACAGGTTGAGAACCACTGCTGTAAAGGATATTTTTCTTATCCCTTTTGCACAATTGCTCCAGAAACACTAAACAGCTTTGTGAGATTGGTTTCAATTTACCAGCTCAACACAGAAACAATATTCAGAACAATTCAGGATTTCCAGAACCAGCATCAGGAAGAAGACTTTCTAACCTCTGTGGATGAAGAAAACAGTACCTCTATTTTTATCCCAAGAATAGTCTGAATTCTATTTGGTCCTTGTTTCTACATGTTAGGCCCGTGAGTTTGACACTCCTGTATTAGGTAAAGTCAGTTTAGTTCTTCCACAGGAAATAATTGCAGAAACGGATGGTTTAGAATTTAAGCTAGGATGTGGCTATTCCTAGCTAAACGTTTCCCAAACATGTATCTTAAGTATTGCTGGTTCAGCAAGCAAGCCTTTAACAGGTTGAACTCTCTCGAAATAATACCCGCAAAAACCAAACTATCACAATCTACCACTTATTTTAAGCACGGTTTAATTCCTCTATATTATCTGCCTTGCAAAAAGAGCTTTTGGAGACGGTGTTACGATTTTCATATGCTTGGTAAGCTCTTGCGGTTGCTTCCTGAAGACTGAGACATATACATTATTAAAATATCTGGAAAACAAAGCTGTCACTCAACTACAGAAACTTCGACCTTGGTAACAAAATTAAGCAATTTAGTATATTTACATACGGGTAAGTTGTCAGGGCTAATCAAAACTCTTTTAACAGAAGGACCTCCGTCCATCACAAAAGAAACTAATGTCAGAGTGAAGGGGAACACCTCTATCGCTGCTTTATAAGTCTATTTCTTCTCTTCTATGTATATCAGCGCGCCATTCATAGAGTTTGCTTTCATGCAATTCTGCGACGGTGCATACTTACAGGATTGTTATTGGCTTTCCCCACAAGTATGAGCCTTGCTTTGAGCTTGGTCATATTAAAGTTTTTCAAATAGGCGTCATAAATTCTCTTGGCCAGTGACTTAAGATCTGCGACTTCGGAATTCTCTGTGCAAAGTTCACCTGTTTGGATTTCAGCTTTCAGTTTTGCCTTTTCTGATCTGGGCATCCGTCCAAATCGAATGGCTGAGGGGGAAAACAAGGATTGAAAAAGGGAGCATAACAACACATCACACACCTTCTCACTCACAGAGATAATCCCTCCCCCCCCCCATTCTGGGCTTAACCAGATGTTGGGTTGTGTTAAGGATTGTGTAGTGTTTTCCAAACATGGCGACTTTATTTTTTATTCCAAGTTTTTTATTTTATAACATATAAAAATTCTATTTTTCAATTAAACAGCGTGTTGTCTGGATACAAATAGTTTTGGGAAATAGTAATCAAAATATTTACAGCAGTATTCATTACATTAGTATTGATTGTAATAATATTATTGTTGTTGTTGTTATTAATTAATGTTTACTTAACCATTTTAACATTTTAACTCTAACCCTAACCCATTTTAACCCTAACCCTAACCCTCCCTTATATCATTGATCCTTTCCTTATATTTCCATTTCTAACTTCTGTTTTATTAGCTAACCATTGATAAAATAAGTCCGAAATCAAAAAGTTCAGTTTCTTTCTTTTCCTTAATTGTAAGTGTTAGCCTATCTATTTCTGCACATTTTAATATTTTTTGAATCACATTTTCATCTGTTGGGGATCTCTTCACTTTCCCACTGTTGTGCAAATATAATTCTAGATGCAGTCAGTACATGTAAAATCAGATAATGCATTCCCTTTATTGTACTTATCCAGTAACATGCCCAACAAGAACATTTCTGGTTTCAAATCAATATGTTGTTTTACCATTTTTTCTAACCATGGACCGTATTTTTCAGAGTATAAAATGCACCATTTCAAAAAAAAAGTTTTTGCACTCTGCAGACCTCCCAAAAACGGCCTGTTTTTCACAACCCCCCCTTTTTTAAAAAGGGCATGAATAGCCTCTATTCATTGGGGGGGGAGGGGGCAAAACTGAGCAAATAAATGGCCTATTTTTCCCTCATTTTTGCCCTCCCCAGCCCCCAGGAGCACTCTGAANTGTGTGTGTGTGTGTGTGTGTGTATTGGGGGGCATCTTGACCTGATTCCAATGGATTTTACTTAAAATGTGTTTGTGTGTGTGTTTGTGTGTGTGTGTTTGTGTTTGTGTGTGTGTGTGTGTGTGTTGCTAAGGGGTGTGAAGAAAGAAATTGCTATTATACTGCATAAGAGGTTTGAGGCCTAACATCGTGCGAAGCTGGTTATACTTTACTAGAAGGCAAACATCTATAAAGTATATCCATCCGTCCGTCCCCTCTCTCCTACTGCCAGTGTGCCGGGAGGCTCCCAGCCAAAAGGGCACCACCCCGGATGCCTTGTTGATGTGGCTGCCCTTTGCACAACACCCATTAGGGGCCAAGTAACGATGAGCAAATAAAGATTATGCCATACAGAGAACACCAATATAGCAGGGGTCAAGCAAGCAGCATCCATATAAGATCAATGCAGGTTTCCGCTTTTCTGAAGAAAAAAAATATATATTATACAGTCTTATGTTTAAAAAGCGGAATAGCAAGACATTTATTCTAAACACCATTCACATGATGAATGTATGAAAATGGATTCTGGTTGACAGGCACGGACCTTCCTGAGCCGGTCAGTATGATACGTTAGTATTTCTTGAACAATTTGATTTATAACTTCTTTTTTTTTAAAAAAATTATTAGTTGAGGTAGTTTGGTTTTATTTTGGGGAAGCAAATCTTCCCAGCGTTAATTTCTATTTTATTGCCCCAATCCTGAGTAATCTGAATAATAGTGCAAACAGGTTTTTTTTTATACCATATTTTTTTAGACAGTGTTTCTATTAAAATATATTGGCATAAACGGCTGTTCCGTCTGAATTCTTTCTCCCGTTTTAATTCTTATTGAGTCAGTTTCAGGTAGGGAAGTTGGAATACAAAGGGCTCAGAAAAACCTCTATATGACACTTTTAAATTATGGTAAGATTATAAACAAAGCTGCTGCAGAGAAAGGCCTGGTCATTCGGAAGGCAGTGTCAGGAAACACCACTTTTAAGTAAAGTGAGGGATAAATTGATAAAATAAAATCACTTCCTGCAAGAAATGTGCCTTCTAAATAACCCAAATCAGCACTTTTTCACCTTTGATTTCCATACAGTTTGTCCCAGACATCTTGATTATAAAACAATTTCTACCCTGACAAATGTGTTTGGAGCTTTGCAAAAAAAAATAGGCCTATTTTCCATAGTATGAAAATCCTCACCTATAAAATGATTTAAAAATATACAGGTAATTATAATTCCAATATTAGACTACATCAGATACTTATCTTTCTTTTCTTTTAAAGAAATCAGGATTTTAAAAAAGTACGGTCTAGAAAAACTGACGAAAATATTATTGGAAGATCTTAACACGATGGAGCTTCCAGGGACATAAATTAATTGAGGCAAATTTGGGTCGTCCCCCCACCTTGAAATCAAGGCCTTTTTAGGATAATCTGAACAAGCTGAAGCTATAGTTTATATAGCATCGAAAGACGGTGAGCCCCACTTCAGAGTTTGGGTTGAGATGGCTAAAGAAAGGCGGATAAATCAACCCTCAGAAATACTAAGAATTTCAGATATGATGGTTTTAGAAGGTACCTGGTTACTAAATGCAATGCACTAAATTTATCTCGAGGATTTAAATGTCTTTAAAGTCTAATACATCCCCTCTCTTAAAAATACACAGACACCATCGGTGGAAGATTGGGCTTAGACAAACCTGCAGACCAGTGGTATCTAAACTCGACAACTTCAAAACCTATGGACTTCAACTCCCAGAATTCCCCAACCAGCGTGGCTGGCTGGAGAATTCTGGGAGTTGGAAATCCGCAAATCAGAAGTCAAGCTACCACTTAAGGGTTGACCTGCAGTATTTTGGCTGCCACCAAACTGGGAAATAATCCGTAGTGTTAAGCAACTCCCAATTTCTGTTTTACATTTCAGTGCAAATTATATGCCAATGGTATTCGACATTGCTTTCATAAAACATTGGGTGCTCCTCATTATCCTCAAATGCAGGATTACAATCCATTCCCATTCCAGCCTGACCTTCTTATTTTAGACATTCCAAGACTGAAGCCAAGCTATGAGTCCACCTTAGTCTCCATAACTAAGGGAATTTGAGTCAACGATTATCAGTCATACAGCTTGATTCATTATCGTAGTAAAGGAAGCACGAGAAGCTCATATTCCACTGAGATTCCCAAAGTCCTTGAGATCCGGCACCATGATAGAATCCAACTTCTCTTCAATTTTGGCTGCTCTCCCTTAGTCTCTGCCCTCTCTCCAACCCTCAGAGGTACATTTTGTGGGGGTGGCAGGCTGTAGGAGGTGCGGGATGGAAGGATCATCATTCTCCTCTCCCTTCATTCCTCTGATGTTTCACCTGAAGTCCTCCATACTACACAGGTAAATTTATAGAGGTTCCACATAATTCCATGGAACTTGGACTGTAATCGTAGCCCGAAAAATAGTGCTGTTTTTTTCTAAGAACAACTTTCTTCTGTAGCAATAGCACTTAAGAGTTATATACCATTTCACAGTGCTTCATGGCTCTCTCTAAGCAGTTTACAGAGTCAGCCTCTTGCCCCCAACAATCTGGGTCGCTCATTTTATCCACCTTGGAAGGATGGAAGGCTGAGTCAACCTTGAGCCACTCTGGATCGAACTGCTGACAGTGGGCAGAGTTAGCTTGCAATACTGCATTCCAACTACTGCGCCACCAGGGCTCTTCAACGATCACAGATCTAGTACCCAAGGCAAGCAATCCCAGGAACAAAGTCAGACACATCTAAAAGATGTACATATGCCCTTTTTCCCCTCAACGGCTAACCCTCTTCACCTTTGTTTTCGAAACATCCCTGAGTTTCAAGTATAATTCCTCCTACACACTGTGGGAGAAACATAACGGCGAAGCACTTCCGGCCACTGCCCACCCCAAGGTTCTTTGGATCCTGCCCCAAACGATTGACTTTCACATATTAAGGAAGTGGGGGGGAACGGGGATAACGACAAATACTTCAAAAGTGCAGAAATGTCAGAAGGCATTGTGTTTGTGACTTAAGTTGTGGCACGACGCAATTCCCACCGTGGCCCAAATTTCAAATCAATCACCCCTTACTATCATCATCATCATCATCTCTCTCTCTCTATTACGCAATTTCTTTCAATTACCGAAACCCCTGCCAGAGAAATGGATATTCCAGTTACCCAAATTTTAGGACGATGGCAAATGCTCCAGCTGAAGCATGCTGGAGACCAATGCGCCTGAAGCATCTGGCCATGTGAGCGACGGCTTTTGCCTACGGTACAAAACGGAAAAACCACCTTAGTACATATCCTTGTATATTTCTTGTAGCAAAGGATGTAAGTGTGCATCGGATTCGGTCTTTTTGATTATTTGAACTAGCTGGGCGTGTTCTGTGACCAGCTGCCGGAGATCTGCCATTTTCTGGAGAAGTTTGGGGAACAGGAAGATGTCATCCGGATGGTTGTTTTCTAAGTGAAGTTTCAGTACGTGCACGATGCTTTCCTGCATCTTCTCAATGTGTCCTATGTTTACCAAGCCTGGCCGATCTGTTCTCAAAAATAAAAACGTTATATTATGTTATCCTATCCACGGCTAACAGGTGTCAAAGCATTTATCTGCACTTGGGTCTAGTACAGGGCTCGGCAACCTTAAACACTCAAAGAGCCACAAAGGTCCTAACCGGAAGCTCCCCGTTCAATTCTGAAGCCGACTGGAAGTCCAGTTCACCCACCATAGAGTCTCCTCCTAGCGCAGTGTCCTTTTTCCTCTACCTGTCCTACCTGAAATCTCTATCACTTGTGGAGCTGAGTGGCGACAGGGAGCTGCAGCAGAGGGTTGAAAGAGCCACATGCGGCTCCAGAGGCTCGGGTTGCCAACCCCTGGTCTAGTAGAAAATGCGTTATCACTTAGCAGCTATATCAACAATGCCCAGACACTATACAGGTAGTCCTCATTTAGCAACTGCCTCATTTAGCGACCACACTTACGACAGTGATAAAAAATAACTTTACCACCGAACTTGCGACCTTCACAGGTCTGTAAAGCAAAGGAAAGCTGAAATGAGATGATAAGCACAGTTGTACCGATAAAGAATATTTGTTGGACTGGGAGGTTATAAGCAGGGGTGGGATTCTACCAGTTTGGACCGGTTTGGGTAAACCGGTACTCCGACGATCAGCTGGGAGCGAACCAGTTCATCCTGACGATCAGATGGGCCCACCCACTTGCCCGCACTATTTCCCTACCTTTATCTTTTCAGCTGATTCGTGCGGCAGAGCAGATTGCCACGCAAATCAGCTATGTTAGAAGAAACCCGGAAGTAATGATTTGTTTAAATTGTGCATGCGTGCACAGCAACATATCGCACGATTACTGAACCAGTTGTTAAACCAGGAGGATCCCACCACTGGTCATAAGTCATTGTTTTCAGTGCTGTTGTAACTTCAAACGGTCACTAAATGAATTGTTGTAAGTCAAGGACTACCTGTATTATGAACTCTTTCATAGGGAAGCATCAATATTTAAACATGAAACACTCCTTCTCGCTGTCAGAAAAATATTGTACTACCATATTTTTTGAAGTATAAGACGCACCTTCTAAAAAGAGGCTGAAAATCTAGGTGCGACTTATACACTGAATACAACATTTTTTGCCTTCCAAAACTCCGCTCCTTCACCAAAATGGCCGTGCATAGCTTTTAGAAGGCTTTCAGAGAGCTCCTGGGGGCTGTGGAGGGCAGCAATGAACGGAAAATGGCCCACTTTGTGCCCCCCTCCCCAGCAGCACTCTATAAGCTTCCTAAAGGCAATCCATGCCTTTTTTTTGACAAAAACCGGGCTCGTTTTCCCAAAAAACGTTTTTTTTTGCTCATTTTTGACCCCCCCCCAACCTCCCAGGAGCACTCTACAAGTCTCCTAAAGCTATTCATGACCTTTTTTTTTTAAAAAAAGGGCCCGTTTTCACGATATATGGGCCATTTTTGGCAGGTTTGCAGAGTGCAAAAACTTTTTTTTTAATTTTTCCTCTTCAAAACCTTGCTGCGTCTTATAATCCAGTGTGTCTTATACTCCAGTGTGTCTTATACTCC